GAATAAAGTTATAAATTAAACTGGAAAATAAAGTTTTCATTAGTATTCAAAATGTTTTTCCTTTTCTTTCTTACAGAGGATGTGTTTCTTTTAGAGACAGATAACCCCAGAACAACGCTCGTGTATGGAATTTTTACAACTTCAAGGTAAATGGGGAGATTTGAAAAAAATTACCTTTCTGAACTGCCCAATTTTCTATATGGAAACTGAAAGTGATGGTTTGTGGTCAAGGCTGTTCTGTGCAATTTTGTATGTCTGCTGTGGCCATCATTTGCATGCAGGAGTAACAGTCTCAGTATGATTACTGTTGGTATCCATGTTAGAGCTATGCTACTTGGAGCAAACTGCTCCCTGACGTACTGTCAGCTGGCACTGGGAAAACGTTTCCGTGGAGGGCCACTTGTTACCCTTCAGCAGCGGAAAGCTAAAGAACTTCAACACAGTGAACTCATGTGGCATCTGAGAGCAATTAACACCTCCTGAAGGACATCCAGCACCCGAAGGATCAAACCGGGAATTCTTACATGAGTTCATACAAATCATTTCCAGTCTCGCAGCTGGCAGATGATCGCACAGATGGCAAATAACCCATGTCGGCTTCAGTTGGCTATGAAAATACAAGCTTATGTGGCATTTGATCGCCTCCTTGCAGCATTAAGCTCCCTGTTATCAGTCAGTAGTACTCACTATGCACTTTAGAAAGCATTCAATGAGTTCCCAGGGGCTATGGAAGTACTACATATGGCTTACTATGCTGAAACTCTCCTCAAAGATAGACCGACAGGTGGACCAACAGATTCTGCTATCTTTACCTTTTTTTTTTTTCACTTTTCTCTTGCCCTTATCCCATAGTGTTAGTATACAGAGTAAAATAGTTACTGCTTACTGATTTCTGATATGCTCTCCTGTATTATTTAACTGTTATTACTTAACTTCAAAGAGGTTTTTTGCTTATTTTTTTATTTCATTTAATTTATTTGATCAAATTAGCAAATTATTTAACTTATTACTAGTAATTGCTTTAATGGCAATTTCTAAGGAAAAATCCTTGCATGAAAAGATGTTTTTTCCCAATACACTTTTCTGTCTTTTTTCATGTGGATCCAGGGATCTGCTTTCTCAAATGTGTGAACCAGCCAGGAAAATATGATTTTATGATATTTAATTGGGAAAAAAGGAATCCCGTAACGTGTAAACATCTGGTGCTTTCTACATTTCATGATTCCTACTGCACAAAAAGAGAAAATGCTAGGGTTATGTTTAGCAGTAAAACCACACTTATGATTAGGTTGTGGATGCAACATGCCTGAAGTGGAAACACTTTTACCTAATTCTCCTGGTATTCCTGCAGTGGAAATGAGGTTTGAATCACAGGACCATATAAGGTGACAACAAAGAAAAAACTTTTCCTTTTCCTGGCTCTCAAGCTTTTTTCTCTCTCTATTGAAGTTTTTAGTCATGCATTTCTGTTATCATGAACCACATAGTCCATGCTTTCTTTCTCTTTGTTTGACTACAGATTGGATGTGCTACCTAGTTAAATACAGCAGTCATAATGATGTTTACTCCTTAGCAGTTCCTTTATCTTCACCTCTGCAGACTTCCAACTCAAAACAGTAGCAAGAAAGAAACGTCCCACCAAATAATAAATATTATCACTTTTATCTAAACCATACAGAAGGAAACCAAGTAATATTGAAGCGAATTATTTTGGTGGCATAATCTGCTGTAAATCTAACATAAAACATCTGGAAAGATTAAATACATTTCTTAAAAGCTATTAATACCTACTAAAATTTCCACAAATACCATCATCCATCTGAAAGGTTCCTCCTGCTAATCCATGTATAGCTGAGAGCAATATGAATTGCATTTTCCTTGTTTAGACCCTATGTGTAATGTTTTCATTTTTTTTCTGGAGTGTTTTTTTTCTTTCTCAATTGAAAACAGAGGGTTACTTGGATTATCTTCATCCTACAATTAGCATCAGGCAGATTTCAGACTGTCTGGAGTTCCCACTTGGTTAAGATAAATATCCCAAACCTTATATGCAGTGAGTGAGAAAAAAAAAAAAAAAGGAGTTAATTCACTCCAGTCAGTGTTAGCATCACTCTGGAAATTATTCCCCTAGTGCCCTCCATCATCATGGAGTGATGGAGGCCATTCAGGGCTTGCACTGGCTGAGGAGACATCTGAGACCATTGCTGAACCCAGAGCAGTGGAAAAATATGCCCTTCTCATAGCTGACCCCCTGGGTTCTCCTCAGGAAGCATCGAACTTCAACTCTTTTGAAGGGGTCTTTGTAAAACCCGTTTTGTGGGTGAATTTGAGCACTGTGTAGGAGTAATTCCTTTACAGACACAACCTGCCCCCATTTTGCTTAGAAAAGCTGGCAACTGATTGTAATAATCTAACCAACTGTAATTGCGCTGGATGTTTTGATTAATATTTTAGCCACGTATTTTAGGAGGCTCATGGAGGTCTTGTGGTTAATATACTGGTAGGGAGTTCTGGAAACCTGTGCTGAGCTTGGCAATACAAAGTTTATAAAACTCTTGTCTCACTGAAGTCAGCAATATTTTTGCCATTGATTTAACTAGGGCCAGATTATATTTCTTTTATGTTTGACGTTAGGAAACTTTCTTATTCCACCAGTAGGGTAGTACCTTCCTCCCTCTTTTTTCAGTTCACTGTTCAAAAAGGTGCTAGGTCTTAAGGATTAATGGAGTATATTGGGAAGCTAAATTAGATGGTTTTAAATGTATTAAATCCATGCTATAGAAGCATTAAATTGTATTAAATATATTCTTTTAGAGTTATCTTTCATTACTGGACCATTCAAAATGATAGAAAAGCTATACAGAAGTTGGTAGATTGCAATACTTTTTCCTACTGTCTTCCAGCTCCATATTTAAAGGCTCAGCCGTGTGTGTGTATCATCTGTCCGACATCCAGACGGTGTTCAACGGGCCGTTTGCACACAAGGAGGGCCCAAACCACCAGCTGATTCCATATCAGGGCAGAATTCCATACCCGCGACCTGGCACTGTAAGTACAAAGATGTTTATGCAGGCTTGCCAATTACTTGTCTTTGTTTAATACATAAATAAATATTACTTATTCCAGGAAAATGGACTGTATGTGACTATGACACTTAGTTACAGTTCAGAAAAATTTTATTTGCTTCTGAGCTTGCCATACAAATCACATAGTATCTGGAAATCTTTTAGAGAATTAAAAGTCATGCAAAATTTAGTCGCTCTTGCTCTTTCTGCTCAAAGGGTGGTAAGAATTATTTCATTAGATGGCAGTCATATTGTTTACATGTACATTTACATTTTGTGTGTATGTTTGAGCAAAAGATAACTAAATAAATAGCATACAAAGATGGCACTGTGAGTGTGTTCTACAGTCTGGATCCAAACCTCTGTAAGTCTGTCTTCAGTCTGTGTGAATTTTCCATAGCTCTCTGAAGTTTTACAGCTCTACTGGGATGCCTGGGAGATGTAGTAGGAGAACAAGGCTTCTGGGACTTCTCATTTGACTAGGTCTAATACCCTGTCAGGTATTGAACCTTAGATGAGAAACCTAGAAACAGATGAGTTTTCATGCCAGTCAGTTCATAGTAGTCCTCCTTGTTAAGAATGCTTTTTGTATGCCTTGAAAATTTTTCAGGACGTTCTTTCACTGTATCGGGGTAGTAATAATCTTCCAATAAATTCTGTACATCATTAGGGCTAGCTCTGTTTCCAAGTTTTAAAAAAATGTCCCATGAAAGATTTTAAACAAAATTGTTACTTTTTTCTTTGTTTCAGCTTTATGGTGTATAAAAATTGCTGTTGATGCAGTTTTGCCTTTCTTTGTTTACTTATGTGTACTACTTTTAATTTAGAACTTGCAGAAGTATGAAGTCTAATATTTCCACCTTTAATGAAGAAATAGGAACTTTCTCTAGAATCTTCTCTAAATCCATATTTGCTAAATAAATTATGGTAGTGTGGATTTTTGTTGACTCCTATGAATTCTTCTTACAATTTCTTAAGTATCAGAATTAAATAAGTATGTGCAGAATCATAAATCAATCAACAATGATGCAGTTATTTGTTTTAGATTAACACTTTGTTGCTTTTTGATTTATCATAGGAAATTAAATTTATTTTAATTTTGCAAGTCACTGCAAGAACTTTTAACCATATCACTGTTTCGTTCATATTTGTCTTTGTGCTGTAGATCTTGTTCTTTCTCTTTCTTTCTCTCTCATATACTAATGCACAGATACATGGAATAGCTCACACAATTCTTCATGACATTTTAGTGCAGTTATTACTGGCTGTAAGATTTAGGACTTTGTGTTCCCAGATCTCTAGAATTAGTTAATCAATACCTGATATTCCACTAAGGTCTAATGCTAGCATTATTCTTTCTTTGCAATTAATTCATACAGCTTTAATCTCATGAGTTCACTGAGGCTTTAAGCTTAAACTTTACAAAAAAAGAAAATAAATGGCCCATTTAAACAGGAAGTTTCATGTTCTTGTGATTAGTCACATTTCAGAGTTTCTTGCTGCTTCAGAATATTGTATTTGTATGTGTTCCCTCAACCACTGCCATGTTATTCTTGGTTCGCCTCATGGAGGCTTATGAGGTATTCCAGACAGGCCTAAAGAAATTGGGCAGCACAATGGAAAGGCAAAAGAAAATTCAGATTTGGATTTAACATGGTGACAGAAATTGTATACATTTTTCAGATGTGCCAATGAGCTCTGAATTTGACGATAAATTCTTAGATCATAGCTCACACAAAAAATAAAGCCAAAAGAGATTCTTTCAAGATGGTCATTGCTGGTTTTCTGATCACCAGCTTTTCTGTACTTCCTCACAATTCAGCCACAACACAGTATCTTAAAGGTGCACTTTCTAAGCTGGGACATGTTTGGCTTTGCTTTTATTTTACTGCCAAGAAGTTCCACTTTTAAATGCATGCCACAAACTCTATTTTTCACTTATGTCAAGGTATCTGTAAAAATCAGGGCATGGGGATTTTTTTGCTGCTCAGAATTTGTCTTCTAAGGGTTAACTTTGAATAGCTACACTTGCAGACTATGGGGCATGAGGCTCTTTCCTCTGAAACTTAGGTTTCTTGCAACTTCTGGGATGCTGGACTAGACAGGGATGCATTTTTATATAACATGGAAAATCCTACTTTACAGTTGCCTAAAGAGATATTCATACTAAACCTCTGTACAGAAATGAATGTTCATTGTGTCATAGTACATTGAATAAACAATGAAAAGGCTTCAGTATAGCTTCAGTAGGATTAAACAAAGCAATACGTTCATTTGGCCGTAATCAACTCCTCGGTGTTTGGCTGCCCTTCTCTAAATACCAATGGTTTCTTATTTCTCCACAAACAAAACTTACTTATGGAAAAAGAAAGGAAGAAAATTTACATAATTGGCATCTTGCTACTAAATTCAGTGATGTTTGAGGATAGTTTCCGTTTTTCAGAGTTTATAGAAATAGTTTTTGTACATACAGCATGTTGGGGAATAATGCTGTAAATTAAAGAATTCTGTTTCTCTCTGCAATCTAACTGCATGGTGATCAACTGTGAACATAATTATCATGTAGCCAAGTCCTTGAATGAGCTGTGAAGGATATACATTCAATCCCTCCAGGAAAGGGAGAGCTTATAGGGTTCTTCAGTAACATCTTTTGCTTGTCATTGGTTTATATGGGGGATAGCAAAAGAATTAATTGATTAAAGATGTGTGTTAAGGCTTTGCTCAGAACAACGATATAATGTAAGTTTTTAGGGTCATACTGGGGTGAACCATAACACAGACATTTTTGCAGGAAGTCACAGACAAAGGAATTATGATGTCCAAGTCAAGAATGGAAGGAGAGAAAGTATCAGAGAAAGTCTTTTAACTGAGCTGTGCAGGACAGGAAAGTTTAATTTGAACTGCTCGTGAAACAGAATCCCTCTGGAGAGGAACTGGGGTCTGGCAGATCACTACCAAGTAGAATAATCTTGCTAATAGCCTACAAATTTATGAAGACGGTTCTTTTCTCAGCATTTGTTGCTAATCTGGAAGACTGGATGGAAGTGCCACAGAGTGAAGGAGTAGAGCAAACAAGATAATCAGAATTCAATTTTGTGAGGACGTAGAGGGCTAGCATGTAGTGTCATTTCTAATGAGAACCAAACTAAAACCCTCAGGATAAAAAAGAGTCCAGAAGAATCAACTGTCAAGGATGTCAGATGGGAAAAGAGACCCATATCTGAGCTGAGTTCTGGTTCTTCTTCCTGAAGATAACTGGTGCCAGAGAAGTTTCTTCTAAAGAATTCCTACCAGAGCTGTTCTACTTTGTATAATTAATTAAATCCTAATTGAGCTAGAAGATTATTCTAAAGCCTGGGATTAGGCTGCAGTCCCCTTTCTACTTTGTTCCTGGTATTGCCTGATGAATAGTTTATTAGGTGCACAAGACGGAACAGCTTTTAGCAGCGAGGGTATAACGGGCACTCCTACCTGGTGGTTAAGAGGAATCCTCTGGGAGGTGAAGACCCAGATTCTAACGTTTGCTCACATCAGGTAGGTTGGACACATGACTCATATATCCCCAGTGAGTTTCCTAGTCTCGCAGAGTATGATTCATTTTATATAATTTTAGCCATCTAAAAGCAGGGCATCTAGTCTGAATTACTGACTACAGAGGAAACCTAGATGGCTAACTAAGAATAAATGCCTAACTTTGAGACAGTAGAAGTCAGGTGAGGTAAATGTCTCCCTAAGCTACTAGCTATTTTCGTGTCTGTGGTTTTGACCAGAAATTCCATCCTAGACATAAGAATGGTCCTCATCAGAATAAACAAGTTTCCATGAAGTGCTTCGTATTAAATAAATCAACATTTTCCAACTGGAAAAATATTGTGTTGAAATATTTCTGAGTAGCTCCAATACTCTGAGGAGAGTTTCACAGATCAGAAATCTGGTAAGGGGTGAAATGAAAGCTCAGGAGCAGCAATAAGAAGTGCAGTAATGGTGGCTGAAAAAAAGTCATGTAAATTAACATAGGTACATCCAGAACATTGTACCAGTTACTGACATAGCTCCTGATTTCTTCCCACAGTCTGCTTTTAGTTTCACTCTCAGTAAACACTTGAGATTTCTAAGATTGCCTTTATTTCCTCATGAGGTCCAGAATGCCTCAGGGCTGATTATTTGGATGGTTCTTCATTACATGTAAAGAAGTATATAGAGCATTCATGGACCTCTGTTATTTCTCAGGCACAGGGCAAGGTATAGACAAGGTCCTGTGAACGGTCAGTCTTCTCAGATGTAAATGAATTGTCATGGGACCCCCTCATCAACTCCATATTACTGTTTTTTCAAATGAAGATGAGTCACAGGCCCTTTCACCATCTTCTAATCAATGTAATGACTAGAGGGATATTGACCAAATTACAGTTAATATCAGATTTTACTGTTTGCCTTTGTACCAAATTATAACTGAACCCTTGGTATCTTCTCATACGAATCACTTGGACTTTTTTTTCAACAGGCAGTTGGGAAGCATAAAGAATGTGGAAGTAGGTCCAGAAGTATGGATCTTTGCCATCGAGATGGGTTGTGAAAGAGCAAACATATGTTTGTGTTTGCTTTATCTGAATTGATGGGAGTTCAAAGCGTAGCTATTTAAGCACTTCATTCCCATTACTGGAACACAATTACTTTCAGTCAGAGTCTGAAGTGCTCTTTCGGGAACTTACTTTGTCAACTATCTGTCAATATTTGTAAATGACTTGGAGATGAAAACTCTCTGAAAGATGGTAAATATTGTTAAGCATTGCTGTGCATGGTTCTTACAGTGTCCAGGAGGAGCCTTCACACCTAATATGCGGACAACGAAGGAGTTCCCGGATGATGTTGTGACCTTCATCAGGAATCACCCTTTGATGTTTAATCCCATTTACCCAATACACAAGAGGCCACTAATCATCCGGATAGGAGCTGACTACAAGTATACAAAGATTGCTGTAGATCGAGTGAATGCTGCTGATGGAAGATATCATGTCTTGTTTCTTGGAACAGGTAAGACAAACAGCAGCAATTGTTTTCCTCCATTGCATTATAATTTGCAATCAACTCCACTCTGTAAAATTTATAGCTTTCAAAAATGTTTGTTTAAACATATTTGTTATCTATGAAAATGTCTGTAGAAATCCATAAATTATGCTCTTCTGACTTCTGTGCATTTTTGTTTCCTATAGATGTTAATTATCTGCAGGAGATACAATGTATTGATATGAATTTTATTTGAGACAGATATCAACACTAGTGTATATTGTATTTGATCTAGATTATAATACTTCTCTTGAATATGGTTTGTCTGCAGTATGATTCCCCGTAAGAATCTGATGCTCTCTAGCATGAGTAAAAATACCAAAATATGGCTTTGAATTGTTTTGTATACTCTCATCATCATTATTTAATATATGCTGTGTAAGCTACTTCTGAAGAAAAACACAGGCTGATCAGGATGTCACAAAGGCAGAAATAACAACTCCACAAAAAAAGTAAAAATATGAAAGTATTTAGCAGAGAAAAAGAAACAAACAGTTGGAGTCCTAGCAGTAGTGGACACAGAGAATTTGATCCAAATATTCTAAAATAATTTCTGTCTACTGTAACCTACATTTTGTTTTTAGTCACATCCAATTTGAATCTGGTGTTAACGCTTCTGAAGCCTGCAGGGAACAGGTCAAGTGATTCTTGTATTGATCAATTTTGATTTTTTAAAATATTCAGGTATGAATCACACTCTTCTGATTGGAGTGGTACTCTGGCTAGACCCTAGTATTCATTCACCCCTGAAACTCCCGCTGGCTTAACAGGGCATTATAGGTTGATAGGCACAAAGGCTAATCTTTTTTACTACAGATGGTTTCAAACAGAACAAAGGAAAAGAACTCCAGGAGAACAAATATATCTCTGAACATCAGAAAATAATTACAGAGATGGCTTGCATTGTTTCTATGGTTCATATATTACTGGGGTCCTCGTTGTTTTTTGCTTGTGGAATAACCGTGTCTGCCAGCAAACTCACATGGGGCTGGGAATAACCATCCTGTTATAATAGATTTAGGAAGCTGGTGCTAAAAAATCTCTTAAGAATGTCAGGCTTGTATAGGGGCAGGATTAAAAGGAGGCTAGCGGCATACTGTGCTGTATTAGCAGAAGTGTATCCAGCCAGCAGGTTGCTGGAAGGGATTCTTCCCCTGTATTCGGCTTCTGTCAGGAGTACCATGTCCAGTTGTGGGCTCCCCCGTGCAAGGAAAACATTGACCTAATGGAGCAAGATCAGCTGAGGGACCGTAGCATGTGAGATATAAGAAGTATCTGAGAGAATTGTGTTTATTCAGAGAAAGCTAAGAGGAGACCTTATTGCTGTTGAGATCTTCCTAATGGGAGGGTACAACTATCTAATGGGAAAAAACAGATCTGGACTCTTCTCAAAGTGCTTGGTGTCAGGGTGAGAAGCAATGGACACAAGTTGCAATGCGGGACATTGCAATTAGACGTAAAGGAAAAGGCTTTCACTGTCAGCATGATCAATCATTGGAACAAGGGCCCAGAGAGGTTGTGTATTCTCCATCCTCGGAGACTCAAAGGATTCAAAACCCAACATGACACAGCTCCAAGCAACCTGCTCTAACTGGACCTGCGTTGAGTGGGGTATTGGACCACATGACTTCTAGAGGCCCCTTCCAGCCTACAGGGTTCTGCGGTTCAGTGAAAGGAAACAGGAAAACAGAAACAACTCATTCATGTTCTTGTGTCAAACCTTTACCGGGTCACCATCTACTGTACTGTGAATGCTTAGTATGCTGTAAGGCATAGTGAGGGTAGAAGAAGCTCTGGGTAATGAATTACATTAGGAATTCCGTGAGGTTTTGATCTGGGTATTTTTGTTTTCTTGGTTGGCAGTTGATAAATAAGTTTTAAGGTGTTCATGAAGATCTCTTTGATCCTACTTGCGGAGTCATTGGAAACTACCAAATTAAGCTCATTAGGACAGGGCTTTCTTCTTGAGGTGTGTTCCCCACCCCCCAACATGTAACCACTTTCATTTTAGTTTAATTAATGCAGCTACAGTTCTTGACTTTGGGACCCTTTAGGGTCATTTTCCTCCTTTCCTACAGAAGTAAAGAAAACAGTCTTTGTACACTACCACAGAAATATCAGAAGTCTTAAAAGATATTGTCCTTACTACTGTTATACAATTCCACAAGAACTCTTAGTAAAAGAGAAAGTTTGATTTTCTACTAGCTTTATTCCTTGCCAAGTCACTATGTCTAGCCAGAGTAGTAGCTTGGTAGGCTAGTACAGGTCTTTCAAATGAACATATTACGCATTTTTTTAATATAGTGGCACCATTGTTTTAAAATACTCTGTAAACATCTAATGTTAATTGGAGGAAAATTCTACTAAAAATTAGTGGAAAAGATAAGACATATAAGTTTCCAACTAATGTAGGGTTCTTAATGTAGCAGTGATAGTTAATACTGGAAATGTATTGAAAATTTGAAATGTGCATGAAAGTGCACAATACTGATATTTAGCATTTCTGTCATTCTGCAGGAGGTAAATACAGTTCATTTCATTTTCTACTTTGATTAGGTTCTGACTCTTTTTAGGTGATCAGTGTGGCCTCAAACATACACCCATGATTTGTTAAAAACATGAACTTACCTCAGCTTGTTCTTACGTTTTGTTAGTCCTCTTCTGTGTATCAGCAGAGGGTCCATTAAAGGGCAAGTACGTAAACTGCAGCTCTTGATACTTTATATTCATTGCTTTATCTTCTGCATTACACTGGAGATGAGGATCATTGTCTGCTTTCTAGTGAGTTAGAGGAGAGGCATTATTCTTCCTGAGTAGGGTACAGGACATTAATAGCTTCCAAGGTCTTCCTCAGAAGAAATTGGTGCAATGTAAGTTACTGCTTTTCTTGTCCCTTTGAAATTAAAGTGATCAAGTTTCAGCCACTAAGAGGAAAAAACTTGTTTTCTTTATTCTCTGCTTTCGGTGAGACTCAGGAGGATTCGATAGAGATATTAACTGTCAAAAGGCATGCAGAGGGGATTTGCTTTGGTGTCAGTTTGTCCCAGGAAATGCAAAAAACACATTGTATAGGAGAATTTCATGTGATAATTTCCTTGGGAGCCTGGAGCCCCACAGCCGGAGACAATGGGACTTGTCACCTGGTGACAATTACACTCAGCTTGGATGACGAGTTACTGCTGCTGAACTGAGATGTTGCCAGCCATGTCTGTCACTGTCAGTGACCTGTCTCATGCTTGAAATTGGAGTGTTTTATGTCTTGCCAGATGCAGAGCACACAAAATGTTTAGCTTTTCCTCTCTTCCTCCTCTATAGCCTCAGTAATAAATCAGTTCCTGAATGCAAGTGAAGAATAACAGAAGTATAAAGCTCCAAGAACCCCAGTAGTTTTCATCATGTAGCCATGGCATGGGTGGGTATAGGCAGCTGTGTGATTTTTTTCACATTAATGTGAACTAAATGTAGTGTTTCCTTTGCACCCCCAGACAAAAGTGCTGAGCTCACAGGGGCTGGTCCATGCCCAGAGTTAATACGTTGCTTTTCTCCCTCGCTTGCCTACATAGCTAACAAAATAAATCCCAGGGACAGACATTGTTCTTGCAGCATTCCACCCGCTTTTCAGATGATAACGATCTCCTATTTTCCCTATGCTTTTCAACCTGAAGACTCCCAAAGCACTTAACAAAACTTGCTAGTTTTGTTAAGTCCACCCAAAGGGATCTCTTAACCCCCCTCTGAAATGAGCTGATTTGGAGTAAGAGGCAAGTCTTTAATAGTAGAGAGCAGTGCTACAAGAGAAGAGTGCTGTATACCTCATCTTCCCAAACAGAAACCCAAGGGATAATTTACTTGGCTATAATGTAATCACTCATTTGTGTATTTGACAAGGGCGATGCTGATGATACTTTTCCCTATGCAATGAGTAATAACACATTCAGTTCAGGAATTTAGGCTTACAGTTCTGCTTCGATTACCCCATTTCTGTGGTAGGCCAGGACTCAGTCCTGAAGTTTTTGATTCACCCCAGAGTTCTACTGTAATTACTTTACTCATTTCAGTTATCTCTAAAGAACCCTAGCTTTCAACATTCTCTGTTTATCATTTGGTAGATTGTTTTCCATCTGAGTTTTAAGAACAGCCGTAAAACAGCATGAGAACATTTTCCTGAGATTAATATTTATTTTTTAAGCATGCCACCTACTGCTTGCAGTACGAAAGCCTTCGGTCAAAGTACACGCAGATTGCACAACCATAAGATTATGCATGGGGTTTTTTATTGCTCTTGGTGTTATGAAAATATTTAAATGTCTGGGTCAAACTTGGGTACATTACACAGCCATGGGCACCAATAGGACTTTTCTCAGCTCCTTGCTATCAAGATAGGATATGTTTTTGTGTAAAGAGATCTAACTTACTGTCGTGAAAAGGCACTTCAGACTTTAGTGTGGCTTATTCAGATGATTAATGTGGGCCACATGCATCTGATGTGGCATGAGGTTGATTGATGTTTCTTATTATCTTTTCTTTTCTGATGCAACACTTGTTTGCAAAGTCTGGATGCAGTAAGTGCCTTCAGAGCATAAGGTTGTAATACTTGTTTTCATGGTGTTACATGATGGCTCTCTTTTTGGAAAACTAAGCCTCGCTGACAACGGTAGCCTCCAGTAACACAATAGCCAAAGTCATGTAATGAGCTACAGATTCTAATGGAGAAAGATAATCTGGTCAGAAGAGCAAGCTTGCCTCCCACAGACTCGCTGGCTGCAGATTCGTGTCTGTGAGCTTGGGAAGATGATGCTGCACAACAGTGGCACAACAGGCGGCAGACAGTTTCCTTCTTCCTCTTGGTCATACTGCCTGAGTCATTCAGGACCTTTCATTGACCAACTCATCCAATGTTTTTTCACAGACTTTTAAGAAGATATGTAAGTTGAGATGGCATTCCTCCACTTGTTTTATTTTCCCTGTTCAGTTTTCATTCAAACAAGATCACAGTGTGTCCCAGAATGTTGACCGAGCTGGAGCTATGTGCAAGTTTTGCCCTCAAATGTGAGCTCATTAGACATATCTGCCTTTTTGTTCTTTGATGCAGCTTGAAATGACTTTACAAAAGTTTCACAGCAATACTATGAGCTGGAAGAAAATTTCACCTGACAGATGAGTGAACTAAAGCACAAGAACGTTAGGTGCCCATGATGGGAGCCCTGACTTACAGCAGATACCTAAGGACAGCAGAGAGTGTGGGGACCTGGCGCTTAGCCCTAGCTGCTAACCTGCCACCATCTCAGGTGCTCTGCTGAGCCTGAACATTTTCTCAGAGAGATTTTAAGCATTCTGCAGACTCTTTGCTTGCTTTCTTCTTTGTAATGTTATTTGTTTGCATCAGGTTCAACTCAGATTAGAGACCAAAAATAATTAAGCTGCCATCAGGCTGACAGGTACAACACAGAGAAAAGTTTTCAGAGGGTCTCCAGCAATGTCAGACACATCAGGGAGGGGGATTACTGCAGGAGGCCTCTCTCTGAAACTCCTGGCAGGGTAGCAGTTGGTGTCCATTGCAGTCATTTTTTTATGATGTGGAAAAGTCAGGGGGTTTATTTGTTGTTCAATTTGTGCATGTAATGTGGCTCAGGGGAGGGATTGGTCCTGACTCTCTTTGAGGCTCACAGTACTGACAACTGCAGTGTTCACTTCAGGCTGGGGAAATAAAAGCTAGTAGAAATTCAGAGAACAAGATTTAAACTCAGACCTTTCAGCTTCTGGAATACAGATTACAGCCAATTACCTGTGTATTTTTCATTACTGCTCATTAAGGTTTGCCTTTTCCATTGCCCATGGTCAGCCAGACCAGGAATTAGTGTAATCAGGCGTAGTCCAACTGGTATCATTGAAGCTTAACTGACTAATACCGGACAGAATCATGCACTGCATTTCAAGGAAGTTGGTATTATTATTATTGTTATTGTTATTAATTTGTCTCCCTTCCTTCTTTGGACCATTCCTTCTTCATTCATTTCCCACTCTGCATACTCTCTACTCCATTTTTTAGCCTGCAGGATGTTAACACTTTCCTCCCTTGCTGTTCTCTCTTTCTCCATCCCCTCAGAGGGGACACAATCTCAGTAACATTGGCTTCCACGTCACGCTGGGAGACTGCAGTTGTTCAGGCAGGTTTGTAACACAAAAGCAGTCGAGTCGCCCTTGTCCTCCTGCCATCAGCTTGAGGGAGATTCCTTCTCATTTGTCTGTCTGCCCTCGACTTGCAGGCTGCTGGGCTGCTGTGAGGCTGCATACAGCTCCTGGTGAAAAGTCAGGGAAGTGGTGAGCATAAATCTGCCTCTTGACTTCATACATTCTTCTGGTGGATCGATATTCTTGAGACACAATAGCTTTTTTCATGACTATGTGAAATCATAACAGTGTAGAACAGTTTGCAAGTGGATTTCTGGAAGTAACAAGTAAACGGCGAAGGAAACCATCCTGTTCACTTCTACGATTTTTACAGAATTAGCTTATAATTTCATATGTTAACCTAAACGTGAAAAAATTTGACTTATACTTGTTTGATTATCTCTTATGCCTGGCTTACAACACAAAAGATTATCTATTATGAAATACACTGGGAAACAGCTCAGGCACTGCTACTTTGCATGTATCTCCTGCAGTGCAGTACTGCATCCTTTCCAACTTTCCTTCTGACCCAGGGAATTTAGTTTGCTGCCTTGCCATTAAAGGAAATAAGCAAAGCTCAGATGTACATGTCTTTCTGACATGAACATGATATAAGTGCTTGATTTGTCAGCTACTGTGCTTACAGTGGAGACATCAGCACTACTGAGAAAGGAGTAAGAAGGGTTTTCTGGGCACAAATATTTGCTTTTATTTTATTAAGGAACAGGCTGAGAAACAGTAGAAAACCTATCTTTAGAAGGGGTGGAGGGCTATAGCCTACAAGCTATGTCGGCTTCCAATTCCATGTATTACAATGTATTACAATTCCATGTGTTGTTGGAATTACACACACACACACACACATATATATATATATGTACAGGCTATTGGAATTCCTTGCTTTAAGTGGTTTCATTTAATGAA